GGGAACACGTTCGGCACTTCTCAAGATTTCTCGGTTCGCAAGAAAAAGCTATTTTTATGTGCGTGCGTGCGTGTGTGTGTGTGTGTGCTTATATTGCCCCGCGTATCTTAAATTAGACAACCATATAAAAGCTCTTATTTTGCTTCTCAAAATAAAAATAAAGAATGTGATGGATTGTTTGGCCACTAACTAAGCTATACGCTTCGAAGTTGTGACAGTTCTGCCATCTTGGTTCTTAAAATCATTGTTGCAGTTATCTGAAGAGTTATCTGAAATCGTAGGAAGTCCTCTTCCGTCCTCCGCAAATGCTAAAACAGTTTGCGACAGAGCAAAACGCTGTTGGCCGAGGTTCCTGCCACAGTTTCAAACGCTCAAGAAGTCGCATTTTCGAATCGTGACGACCGCCAGTTGCGCAATCTCCGCACTAAGCATCAAAATGGCGGCGTCCACTAAAAAAGTTGGAGCATCGGGTACCCACCCGATGCTCCAACTGTGCACTAAGCCACTTTCCGCGATAGCCTATTTAGTGTCTTAACTCAGTCTGTGGGCTCTAAGCATCCTAAAATACCAAATATGGCACTCATCTGTGTGGCCGATTTCTTTAATAAAATTCGTACCAAAGATCGGTTACCTCCGAACTATCGTAGACAACAGAGGGCGCCATCGGACGACGAAAAGCCCTTCTTGTCCGACGGTGCTCTCTGGTGTCTGCGATACTTCCGAGGTAATCTATCTTTGCATGGTACCGATTTTAATAGATAGATCAGTCACGCATAAACATAATGTTCTGTTATTAGGATGCTTAGAGCCCATATATTTAGATATGGGCGCTAAGCATATGATAAGCAGATATGATCATAAATAGACTACAACAGAAAGTGGTTTAGTGCTTCTTTAACCGCTCATTCACACTGGAAGCGGATCCGCGTTCGCAAAGCGGTTGCGAATGCGGTTGTATAAAGATTCAGTACAATTTCACGCGCACTCAATGACATCAAGGGCGCGTGAAATTGTACGGGGTCTTTATACAACTGGCGTTCGCAACAGCTTTGCGAACGCGGATCCGCTTACAGTGTGAATGAGTGGTAAGTGTCGCTGATTTAGTTGCTCTTGGTTTACCCTTCCTTTCTTCTGTAAAAGAAATCCAAGTGCCGCTCTAATATAGTTTTATTAGAGGCTACGTCTTCTAATTGAAAACCGGAATGTTAGTGAATAGATGCGAATACTTGAAAAGATAAAACATCTAGGATGAGGTCAGAAACAGGACTCCTTTCATTGAGCATTGAAAGAAGTCCTGTTTCCGTCCCCGTCCTCCATGTTTTATCCTTTCAAGTATTTGTAGGACTATACTTGGTCAAAACAATTTGCTTAGGTAATTCGGTTGCTGGACACAAAAATAGTTAAGAACGAGCTCTTCAGGAGAAGGCGAATATTTTAACGGTCATTGAGCGGATTATAAGGAATGAGTCCGTTAGGTATTGCTTTAAACTTGCACCCTGACGTTTACCGCTGTCAATAATCCGATACCGCAGAAATATTTCTTTATTTATATGCTTTTGGGGGATATTTACTTGATTTACGTGCGAATCGTATAGGTCTTTTAACCCTCCGTCGAATGGGAGCTGCCATCTTGGAATCACGTGATACGCCCGCCATAAGGTGGCTTCAACTCGTCGCTCCTCTCTGCCCTCCGCGCCTAGGTGAAGTCGTTGTATTCGTGTTTTTTCGTCGCATTCTACACGATATTTTGCCTTGCTTTGTGAAGTGTCGTCTGATACTTATTTTTTATTACCTTACTGCATGCCATCATTATGTGCACCCTTCTGCACTCGATTAAATAGCACGTTTTGACGATTTGCACCGTCGGCGTGCCGGATACGTGTGAGGAAAGGAATCAACGTTAGCGCTGTCACATATTTAATATGTAGGTGACTCTAAGACAGGAGATTTGAGAGGCCAATTATTTATGAGAGCGCAAATATACTTAGGTGATAGTGGCTCCATAAGAAGCGCGAGGTACGTGTATGATCACGAACTTATGATCTTAAATAATAAGGTAAATATAGTGAACCCAAGGAGCTACTATGTGTGTTTTTTGAAAGCATCGTACTCTGCCTTCATATAAGTCCAAAACAGTTGCTTTCGATTATATGGTGGAAAACAAATCTTGTTTTTTTCTAGTGCCTTCTCCATGCCGGATGTATATAGCATATACAAAACGAGGGATAACGGACAGTCCTGACGTAGTACCCTGCAGGCATGTAGCCAGGATTTTGATTTGGGGGGGAAGGGGGGAGGGGGGGGGGGGGGGGTCCCAGCAAAATGGAAGATTTCGGGGCGGGCCCCATGGGCCGCCCCCTGGCTACGTGCCTGTCCGACGATCAGGTAGCTACTCAGATGAAAATGTATATACTTTATACAGGAACTCAACCTGACTTCGGGAAAAATTCTGGAACTGTAAATTTCGTTATTGTTTTTCCTTTCAAACACTGTTCTTTTTTTAGCAAGCTTCATATTTTGTTAAGGATATATAGTGTTCTAAAAGGAAGGAACTTCACATTGATATAACAAATAAGCAGAGTAATAAACTACTTTTATGACGGTTTGTGGAGGTTGTGCGTAAAAAAAAAAGGTAAAAAGCCGCACTTTTATTGAAACCATAACTCTTCTACAGAATTAATAAGAGTGAATATTTTGGTAGACATCTACATGGTTAGGAATTATTGAATTTATAGTTAGGAATTATTTTTAAAAAAATTATTACACCTGGCATTTTGCAAGACGACGACGAGCACATCGCCTGTGATCCGTGTTCAAGGGGCCGAGCTGGCCTTGGAACATAGGGATTTTCAAATTTCAGATGGTTAGAGTTATGGTACGTTCTAATTCTATAGACTCGAAGTGTAAATAAGCAATTCTTCACCAATAGAGTATCAGACGTAGAAAAAATTGTGAGCAGCAGCAGAGGCTTTATTTTCGACGTTTCAAGCAAAGCCTGCTCCGCTCGAAACGCCGAGCAGGCTCTGCTCGAAACGTGGAAAATAAAACCTCTGCTGCGGGTCACAATCTTTTCTACGTCTAATTCTAAAGACTTCAAAAAAGTTTCAGATAACGTACTGTTCTTTGGTCCATATAAGTTTTTTTTTTTTTTTTTTTAATTTGTTGCATGAAATGTTTTGCACTGGTTTAATGTTCTACACACCGAATATCACTAGTTTTCATACTCACCAATAGCTTGCTTTCTTTCTTTTTTCTTTCTTTTTTTTTTTTTAAGAACTACAGGTATTTGAGATACGGACAGACAGGCAGTTCTGTAGTCACTGAGAGCTTGAGAATCGCAGGGCGTGGACTAATATGATCAAGCTTCCTGTTTCGTGATTGGCTCCTCGCGGTTCTTATGAACTGGTGCCGCAGTCGCATTGGCTGCTGAGCGTTGATAAGATGCTCGGAACTCGCCACGCCCTGCGCTTTTTAAGATGTTAGGGACTAAGGATAGGATGTTTCTTTATTTCTCACTGCTATCTTCTTTTCTTTTCTTGAATGATGTTGCAGGCGGGTTTTCGTGTGTGTATGTTTATACAATAGGAAGTTAGTCTGACTTATAAAGGGCGACCGGTGTCTCCGCTGTAGATGAGCAATTTAGCCAGTACGGTACAACCGCTAGCCCTGGGAGTCTTTAACGTTCACCACGCAGTGATGATACACGACCTCATAACGCCGGTACAATGCTCATCCAGATCGAACCGGACCGGAGTGGGGATTGAACCCAAGATCCCTCAGGTATAGGTTTTAGTCAATCATATGACGGCGGTGTGTACTCCGCGCATGAAGGTAGGAAGAAGAGGAGTCGACATACCGGCTCAAGCCAGACAAAAACGAGAAAATTCCAAGTGAAGCAAGAAGTAGAGGTCGCGGTCAGTGGGAACGCCTCCAAAGGTCCTTTCCGTCCAATAGCATATTTTGGTTTTGTTAGTTTTTGGCACAGTCGTAGGCGTTACTAAAGAAGTAACTGAACACTTTACTCGTTGCTTGAAAATAAAAATAAAAGCGTTACCGACCTACGTTACCTCGAAATAAGAGGAACGCGTTAACGTAACCGATAAAAAGTAACGCACGTAATTTTTTTTTTTATTATGAATTAACATGTTTTGCTTTTTTGACGTTACATGTATGCTTAAGCGCCATATTTCAAGAAACATTATGTCCATCCGTAAACTGAGCACGATTCCCTTATCTTTATTACGCTTCCACCTAAATACTGACGAAAAAGAAATGAAAAAAAACCACGAAAAAACGCCAAAAGTTATATGGCTTGGCGCCTAGAAACACGAAAAACATTAAGTGCAATTTTTTGTAACATTTGGGAAGAATATGTAATGCAGAAAGTAACTACGTTACACGGTACTCGAAATAATCATATGATCATACCGATGGGAAAGTGACCAGACCTATGCCTTCGTAAGCTCCATGGACCATAGCCTCTTATATACTGACAAAGCCTGGCACATCGCCACAAGAAGCGGCCGCTCAATTAGAAAAGCTGAAACGGCAGACAACGAATGAGAGAAGAGCCACGTGACTAACGCCGCGCTGCGGCGAGACGCCGAAACACACTTTTCCCGAGCGAACAAGCATCTTTCAATTCCTCACCGCTGCAAAATATGCGCGCTGACGTCCCCCGAGGAATGGCTCTTTGACGCTCTGTGCTACCAGATCCTCGCGCTCCAAATCTGCGACCGGGCACTCTATGGCTCCGTCGTCGAACTGCCAGGCTTTGTGAGTATAGAGGAGACTATGTTCACACATATGCATCTTTTCAGCTCGTCTGCGGACAGCTGTTGTAAGACCAACGTGACGGAAACGTCATACAAGGAGAAAGCGCGCTTCAGTGCCTGCAGACTTCCTGTTGGATGACGTACTACAAGTGTGACCGCGGCTTGCTTCCAGCCGCCGTATAAAACACATGGCAGCCCCGACCTTTTTACGTCTTTATTCGGCAGAGATCGTGGATGTCACGGGATGCTTCCGGATGCCATGGTCGTCCACAGTCCCGGCCATAGTCCCGGCCGCCTGTCGCTCCCCGCCCGCCGGCTGCCGCTCTTCGTGGTCCTGGTGCTCCTGATGTGGTTGGGGACCGTGGAGAGCGCCGAGGACGTGCTGAAGCTAAAGCGTCGTGCGTCACACTGCGTCAAGAACGTGCTCACCTACCGGAACACGCCGCCGGACATGCGGGGACGCTTTCCGCTCATCGTGGGACGTAAGTTGCGCTTATCGGTTCCTTCTTTTACTTTTGTAGTCAAGGACATTGGGTCTGCACCAGAAGCTGTGCCGCTGACACGGGCTTCTAACCTTCGATAACGCTTCGGCACACGCGCGGACAAAGCACGACGGAAGGAGAGTAGCGCGTGTTGGAGGTCCAACTTTTGTAGATTTGTTTGTTCCAATGAAGATGGCTTCGTGTGCGCTCCGCTTGTGGTGTTGACATCCACCGCTATCGTTGGGGCACTTTTGTTTATTGTTTTCCTCTAGAGCGCGTGAAAGAGAGTCTCCAAGTTCAAACTGTTAGCATTGACTGTTGTACACTCTAAGAAAAATCAGGTCGTACAAAAACTTTTTAAGTTTTTGAACGGCCTGATTTTTCCTAGAAGCCACTGAAAAGAAAAAAAATTTCGACAGCTTGGTTGGGACACGCGTGACGAAAAATTAATTTTACGCCAAAACAGAAATTTTGAGAGCAATATTGAATGCGAGATTTATTTTAAATTCTGCGCGCAAAGCCCATGATGTCACGGAATGGTCATACACTCCTCCACCTCAACGTAATGGCCAAGCCTCTCTTCCACGCGTTCACCTCTCCTCCACGCGTTCGAAACGCTGAGAGGGAAAACAAGAGGAAAGGAAGTGACTACCAACTAAAAAGCGTCTCGCGCTGTCAATATTGCATAAAAAAAGATTTAAACAAAGTTCGCAGCGACTAGTTGAGCGAACCCGCCGAATCTGGGCGGCCAACGGAGCCCTGAACTAAGGGCACCGACCAGAGACCGCAAGGTCCTTTCACTTTATCAAATAATAAAGTTTACGATGATGATGATAATTCATTTTGTGACACGCGTGTCCCAACCAAACTGTTTTTTTTTTTTTTTGTTGTTGTTTTTTTTTTTGTGGCCTTTTAAGGGTTCTTCGGTTGTTTATATTTTGCACCCTAAAAGTTATTTTAAGCACACCCTATAAGGGTTCTTCGTGAAAAACCTATAAGGCGCTCTTTCAGTGGCATTTTTTTATCCAAAAGAGTTCTTCATCGCCCAGTTGCCTTTCAAGTGCGCTCGTGGCCGATAGTGCTTCAGGCAAAACCGTTCTTCGCGAGTTGAAAGAGTTCTTGGAGTGACAAAATACCTCTCAAGTACAGACTTTTTTTTTAATTGTATAGACGATTGCAAGCATGGCGCCACAAGTGGTGCCCCATGCGTGCAAGCGCGTGCAACGCGCGGGTGAACGTAGCTTTGGCAAGCTCGTAATCGCACGGGCGTGCCTGCTCGAGCAGAGACATGGCGGCGGCCAGTCGCCCAGCTTGCAATCATCTATACAGCGACATTTTGTTTTGGGCAATTTCTTTCTATTTTCCTTGTAATGCCTTATACTCTGTTTCATACTTAGTGTGCAACGCTCTCAAAGCTACTGGCGCGAGCATGGGCTTGACCTCGTTGATCATTTGCACGTGTTCTCGCGCAAACAAAACCATAGATGAAGCCACGCGCTCGCGCCAGTAGCTTTGACAGTGTTGCAGGCTAAGTATATGAAACAGAGTATAGGTTTCGGATACTGCAAAGGATGTCATCATTTAATGTGCCTCAGTTCCCTTCTGTTAATGGTGATTCCATTCTTTGCACTGCTCGATGCCAACGGCACGCGCTCACAGAGAATACAAAAACAAATAGTGGTGGAAAAATACCGGCCGTAGCACAGTTACCGCTCATTCACACTGGAAGCGGATCCGCGTTCGCAAAGCGGTTGCGAACGCGGTTGTATAAAGATCCAGTGCAATTGCACGCGCACTCGATGCGCGTGCAATTGTACTGGATCTTTATACAACCGCGTTCGCAACCGCTTTGCGAACGCGGATCCGCTTCCAGTGTGAATGAGCGGTTAAAGGGGTCATGAAACGATTTTCTTACTTCTTCCTCCTTAGCTTTAATCCTCAACTCAAATGCGAATTGTGAAATCACGTGGTCGTGACATTCCTTCGGCACCGGTGCGATGACTCCTAGCTTCCACCGTGCTTTTTATGCACACCATAGAACTTGTCATTCCCCAGTGACGATAAGTTCCGTCAGGGCACTCATTGGCCACGAACGCGAATCCAAATATTCGTCGACGGATTGATTGTTGACGAGCGCATACGTCCGAGTGACGCAGTTCTCGTGTCCAATGCGTGAGCTGGGCTCTGCTGACGTCAGTTTGGCGCCATCCACGTGCTTTTGGAACCGCGGATGTATCATAGTGAAAAGGCGGAGAGCTTTCGAAGGCAAGAAGGTACAAAATAGTCCGCTATATTTTCAAATGTTCGTACCGAAAAGCTGGCTTTTGACTTTCTAGCCTCCTTCTTTTGGCCAACTAAACGATATGCGATTAGTAAAGTCCAAATTTAAAATCATTTATCCCAACCCACATTTCGTTTCATGGCCCCTTTAATGCCGTAGAGATCATGTTGGGAGACTCTCTTTAGCGCACTCCAGAAATAAAAACGTTGCGATAAAAATGGTTAGACGTCATTTGTATAAGCAAAGCGCACATGAAGGCGTCCTACCAGCACCCTAGGATGCCTTCATGGGTAAACACCGAGCTCTGCAACAAACAAGCAGGACGATGTGCCCCCTCTATAGCTCGATCTCTTCGCCAACGAATAGCAGAACCTCTCAGAAACTCAGGAAAGAATCTCCTGGAACCCTCAAATTGACTGCCGACGTTCTGCTAAACTATTATCACAAAACAAAAACAAATTTGACGTTCGTGTTTAGACAGCGTAAGTTTGGTCTGCCTTTGAAGTATATGGAAACGCTATAGGCTATGCTGCAGATGAGAAATTTAGCCAGAGCAGTACCACTGCTAGCCTGGCGTCTTTAACGTGCATCACGCAGTAGTGCCACGATCGCACGCCGGCACGATGCTCATCCAGAGACATTGACACATTGTACTCACAGTATATTGCATACACCATGCACTAAGGATAGGCTACCTTTGCCGTCAGAGTCGCAATTCAATCCGTCGGCCGTCTGGCGGAGTAAAAAAAAAAACAAAAATCCGCAGCTCTTCAGAATAGTTTGTGAAGTGAAGTGATAGCTGCTACTGCGCGTGGTAGCACCCACTTCGATGCAGACCCACTTTTGGGTCTGCATCGAAGTGCAGACCCAAAGTCTGCACGAAGTGCACGTGATCACGTGCACTTGTGCACGTGCACGTGCACTTGATCACGTGCACGAAGTGCACGTGATCAAGACACAACACAGCCTTCCGTTCACTGAAGAATGTAGGAATGAAAACACACTGCACACGTGAGTCAACGTCCCTGTCGTATATAATGGCAATTTCCAATTGTCATTTTGGCGCAATGGTCTCAATCCGTGCCGGAGCACGGGTTTCGTGCGGAACCGTTGCGGCTCCGACTCCGGCGAGGGAAGATGACACCTCCTCAAGGGAACCACTGGAGGAAAGGCGAACATTTCTCCCGAAAGCATGTGCTCTCACGGCACTTGTTTGAATGCGTGAAAAATAAAATGGGCGACTCAAGACGACTTTCGATGATCGGAGTGTCAACACAAACGCTGCCGGTCGCATCTTTTCTAAACTTGGAGGAATAAAATGACTGCCGCCTCACATCTAAAGATAATTCCTTCACAAGTTTCCGGAAAATTAGTTATCGAAGCAAGTTAAAAGGGCAAATATACAGATTTAATAATACTTATAATTTCGATCAAAGCAAAAGCCAGAACCATTGGTCGTATATATATTTTTTTTAATAATTCCAGGTCGCGGTCTTGCATTACTACTGCAAGAAACGTTTGTGGATCTAATCCGCGCTAATCATTTTTACACTAGAGATTGGCGTTGTGAAAACGTAGAACCTCTTGATAAGCTGGCGAAAACAACAATATTCATGAGCACATGAGCGACTTCCCTTGTTTTCTGGATTAGGCAAAGGCGCTCTGCCTGCGAGCGAAGAGAGACTTGTTGAAATTAAAAGCAGCAGAAAAATACTTCTTGTGGATTTTCGCAATCGATATCACTGCTGCAGCCGTCTCGTAATGATCCTTAAACCGAGCCATGAAAAGATTTTCCTACCTTCACTAAATACTACTTAGAATCACTCCCTACCATCATTAATAACTGAATAATCTTGCCTTAGTTTTCTTTGTTCTAGGCGATGGCACTCGCAGAAAAAATTAAAAACAAATATGAGCATCGTTCATCTCCTCTACTCGGAGCCAAAACAAGCGGCCACGTGGCCTGGTGTCTATCCCATGCCACCAACGTTAATCATACCAACGTGCTGAGATCGGCAAAGCATAAAACGCGTGCTGGGATCCAGGCATCGTTAGAGTTTGGCTATTCTCACCACTGCAGTGGTTGGAAACGAGCCACTATACCCGAGTTTCCGCCGAGACATTGATTGTTACGATCAGAAGTCGAGTGCTCATGCAGCTCTTCTGTCCAATCCAGGAACCGCGCTCGACTGTCGTGAGGCTGGGGGTTTCCATCCCACGGTCATGCCATCAGCCTTTTCGAAGGCAAGACTGAAAGAAATGGTACCTTTTTATCCTCGCAATTTCGCCCCGTCAAAGAACTTTCTGACTCAGTGGCGTTCCATGCGAGTATACTTGGGCTATAGAAGAACCAGTAAGGTCATAAACATTCTAACGCGATATCGTCTGATGACCCCTTTAAGCTGTGATTAAAGATGAGATGCCTCACCGCATCACGAAGTGACACAAACAATAAACATGGCGCGAGACGGGAAGTGACATGCGCGCTACAAGCTGGTTTCCGACCGAAGCCGCCAATTTCGGCGAAGCAGGCTTTCTCAGGATGCGGAACGGATCTGGAGGCGGGGCAGCTCCGAAATGACGAACGGGAGTCATGCGCGGTGATCCCTATCGCCCATTGACAGACGCGTACTCCAAAAACGTCAACTTCAGAGCGCGCCGATATGACGACTGGAAATCCCCTGAAGACTATAAATCCATACAAGTACCACTACGAGTG